AAGACCGAAATGACTTTGTTTCAGACAAAGAGCGAAAAGCGCTGCAGGAGGAAGCAAAACGGACACACAAGTCCTCGTCAGAAAGTCAGTTGCAACCTACTGCCAAGGTGGTTGGTGTAATCAAACGAAACTGGCGTCAATATGTGGGACATATCGATCCATCTTCAGCCAGCAAGTCCGCTTCATCCCAGGGCCGCAAACAAGATAGTGTTTTTCTCATTCCCATGGATAAGAAGATACCCAAGATTCGTTTACGAACGCGACAAGTATCTGAACTCCTGGGTAAGCGACTCCTTGTAACTATCGACGCGTGGGAGCGAGACTCTAGGCACCCAGTTGGGCATTTTGTCCGCTCACTCGGCGAACTTGAAACCAAGGCCGCCGAGACAGAGGCTCTGCTTCTAGAATGGGATGTTCAGTATCGCCCGTTTCCCAAGACTGTCCTGGATTGCCTCCCCAAGGAAGGCCATGACTGGAGAGTACCCGCGAGTGTGGAGGACCCAGGCTGGAGAGATAGAGAAGACCTCCGTGGGCTTCTCATCTGCAGTATCGACCCTGTAGGCTGCCAAGATATCGACGACGCCTTGCACGCTCGCAAATTGCCCAACGGAAACGTTGAAGTCGGCGTCCACATTGCCGACGTGTCACACTTTGTCAAGCCCGCCAACGCCATGGACACAGAAGCCAGCATCCGTGGGACAACGGTATACCTTGTCGACAAGCGTATCGACATGCTCCCGCCCTTGCTTGGTACGGATCTCTGCTCGCTCAAACCTTACGTTGAGCGATACGCCTTCTCCGTCCTCTGGGAGCTCAACGACAACGCCGACATTGTCAGCGTGCGCTTCACCAAATCCGTCATCAAGTCTCGCGAAGCATTCAGCTACGAACAAGCCCAGCTCCGCATCGACGACACCTCCCAGCAAGACGACCTCACAAACGGGATGCGCATGCTCCTCAAGCTCTCCAAAAAGCTCAAGAAGAAGCGCATGGACGCCGGCGCCCTTAGTCTCTCCTCGCCAGAGGTCAAGGTCCAGATGGAGTCGGAAACCTCTGACCCCATCGACGTCAAGACCAAGGAGCTCCTCGACACCAACTCCCTCGTCGAGGAGTTCATGCTGTTCGCCAACATTAGCGTCGCCGCCAAAATATACGACGCATTCCCGCAAACCGCCATCCTTCGTCGCCACGCAGCACCCCCCAAGACCAACTTTGACGAGCTGGCCGACCAGCTACGCGTCAAGCGAGGCTTCGAACTCCGCACAGATACGTCCAAAGCCCTCGCCGACTCCCTCGACGCCTGCGTCGACAAGTCGGATCCCTTCTTCAACACGCTGGTCCGCATCATGGCCACCCGCTGCATGATGTCCGCCGAGTACTTCTGCTCCGGCACCCAAGCGTATCCCGAATTCCGGCACTACGGACTCGCCTCGGAGATCTACACGCACTTCACATCCCCCATCCGCCGATACGCAGACCTGCTCGCCCACAGACAGCTCGCCGCCGCCATCGGCTACGAGGCCGTGCACCCGTCCGTCCGCAGCAGAGGTCGCCTAGAGGCCGTCTGCAAGAACATCAATGTCCGTCATAGAAACGCCCAAATGGCCGGCCGTGCAAGCACGGCATACTACGTGGGGCAGGCACTCAAGGGCAACGTCGCAGAGGAAGACGCCTTTGTCATGAGGATTTTCAGCAACGGCTTCGTGGTGCTGGTGCCGAGGTTTGGAATCGAGGGTTTGATCAGGTTGCGGGACCTGGCTGAGCCCGAGCCCGAGAGCGAGTTTGATGCCGAGACGTATACGCTCGTGACGAGGGGCAGTAGGGACCTCAAGGTTGAGCTGTTCCAGAAGGTCAAGGTCAAGGTCAGGGATGAGAAGGACGAGAGGACGGGCAAGAGGGGCGTCAAGATGGAGTTGGTTACCGTGTAAATGCGGAGAGTAGCAACAAGTAAATAATAAAGGTCCGCGTACTTTGCTGAATTTCATACAACAGTACATTTGCGCCTGGAAAGCATCTGCGATTGCCAGAGATATATATCGTGATTCAACAACCAGCATACTAATTAGTACGGTGATCGTAAATGATTGTATTTTTTTGCATCTAGTCCTTATTCCCAAAACGCCATACATGACAATGAAACCATACCCATTTTAAGCCAGCTCTACTCTTCCATAGCATCCTCCGCGGCCGCGGCACCCTCATCGTTCCCCCACAAGCCATCCAGCTTAAACTCGGCAGCCCACTCCGTGACAATCTCCTTCTGGTCCGGCATGACCTCATCCTCACCCACATTCTGGACCTTCTTGGCAGGCCCGGCAGAGGCATCAGCCGACCCGACAGCCAAGACAGGCGGCTCAACCCACCCCTGAATACGGCCATCTCGCCAGTCTGTAACAACAGTCATGGCAGCAGCGTGGATGTTGGGAACGCCACCTCGCGCCAATCGACCTCGCTTCCTAGCAACCTGCACCAAAAAGTCGGTTGTGACATCGCCGTCGAGTCTGTTGGGTAGAAGAGCCGGAATGTCATAAACATTGGTCAGTTTCTGCATCAGGTCTGGGGAGGATGAGAGACGGCGGATGAGAAGGCCGACTGCGGGGACGGGATCATCAATCTGCTTGGGAGGGACGGCGTTGAGGAGAATAAGATGGGCATGTGCTTCAGTTGCGTTTTTGAGGCTGACGAGGCCACCGGACTGGACGGATGACGAGGACGGGAACACGACGCCAGGAGAGTCGAGGAGCGTCAGCTTGCTGTCAATTTTAACGCTGCGAATGCTGGTGGTCACGCCGGCTTCGGCGCCCGCCGGGCAAGCTTTGGAAGAACTGCCGCCCTTGCCGCTCATCCTGCTGAGGAGGGCGTTGATGACTGAGGACTTGCCGACGTTGGGGTAACCGATGACGCCGACGGACACGGCGCGCTTGAGTTGCCGGCTGGCTGCGTAACTCTTGAGGGCTTTGAAGAGTGTTGCGGATGTACTTTGAACCGTCAATTCGCGGTGGTTGAAGACGTGGGCATTAGGAGCGGCACCAGAGGCCCGGAGGGGTAGCGTGGGGAAGTATCGTCGGAGATGGACGAGCCAGTCTCGCAGAACTTTTGGGGGGATCAAATCGACCTTGTTGAGAATCAAGATGAGGCGCTTGCCGCCAGCGGCAGCGGCCATGATGCTGCGCTCAACTTCTCGCGATCGAGTGCCCTCGGGATCTCGTGCATCCAAGACATACAGAACCACATCAGCCTGCTCAACAACCTGCTTGAACACCTTGTCGTACGTCTTGCGTGACGAAGCCTGGCCGACTGAAACCTCATTCATGCCGCCATTATTAGAATCGTCACTGTCATCGTCGTCATCGTCCATGCCATCACTTTCCGCCAGCTCTTTGTCGTATTGCGCCGCCGCAGCCTTCGCGCTGGCGAGCAAAGCAGCCATGGGATTCGACTCATCCACATCCTCGTCCATGAACTCATCATCCACGTCCCCAACAGAGCCCTCGGCATCCTCAGCATCGTCCATGACTTCCTCGCCGCCCTGCTGGGTGGCACCGGTCTTCACAGCCTTGGCCATTTCCCTCTTCTTCTCGGCCTCGGCGGCCTTTCTCAGGCGCTTCTCTTCAATTTCCTGTAGAAGCTTCTCCTTGTACGGGAACAAGTTGGGGATGCCGGGGTCCTTTTTTAATTTGGACCGCCATTCTGGATTCTTCTTGGCGAGCTTTCGCTGCTTCTTCTGTTTGGCTGCGGAAGCTTTTTCAATCTTGTTTCGGAGACGGGTCGTGCCTCTCTTGGACTTGGGTTCTATGGTTCGCAGTTAGGTTGCTGTAGTAATACTAGGCATTATAATTAACTACAAACTGAAGACTCACTCTTTGGTTTGTTAATTGTGCCCGCCATCTTGTGCAAGAGAAGACAAGACCATGGAATGAGGAAGGCTGGACTTCTCGATACACCGTGCTGGTAGGCCAAGGCCGGACTGCAAATAAAAAAAATTAGGTGGGATGCAGATTCTGCCGGCTCTTTCCCTCTTCACCGCTTTTCCCCCACAACCCAGATAACAGCCACAGGCAACAGGCAATACTGCACATGCAAGGTTCCAGCATCGACCTTTGTGGAAAGCCACAGCGAACAGAACAGAATCTAGATCACAGCTGAAGCGTGATTGGCGCCACCGTCTCCAGGACCCTTAAAGAGTCGGTAGTGGTAGTAGAAGTAGTACAGTACAACATCTCCGATAATATGGGTCGGCACATATAAGACAGGATTACCAGTCAACGAGGTGTTGTGTTAGTAGCAGTCGATTAACTACAATATTGCACTCTTCGCAGTGGATTTGTCTAAGCCATCTGATGCCTCGCACATGCTGGTTTCAACAACGCGAATTGGCGGAGATTGGCATCGCTTGGCATAGTCATCTGCTGCATTTCCATCAAGGCATCACGCAAGGTCTATGCCATTCTTTCAACTGGCTGGAGGAATGTCACGAGAAGCGTCCGCGTCGCATGGGGAGCAAAAGTGATATACTTATTTCTTCGCCTCATGAATAATCATTTCCTACTACTCCAGTTCGCCCCTTGCTATGATGAATCTCGAATTAAAACTCAACACCAAACTAGTGTCTCTCACTGGCCTCCCCATCAACACAGCGTGATTGCTCAACTTCTCATCTCTCGACTCGGTCTCAGCCAACGAACCATGTTTGCGAGGATACAGCTTGACTTTCGAACCACATCATTCCTCGACCGGTCGTAGCTGAAAAGAAAAGAAAAAAAAAAAAACAAGCTCAAATAACCCTCGATCATTGCGTCGTCTGTTCATTAGGCGGGTGTAAAGTTCGTGAGTGAGCTCGATATTTTTTTCTAAAAAAAAAAAGACATGCAAACAAAAAGATAGTACTGTGTAACAAAGTGGGTACAGAGAATCGAAAGCAGTCTGTCTGAGCAAGTCGCGAGTCATATAATGGGCATCTAGTACAGCTGCAGACAGTGTTCAGATTGCTCTCAGCCCATCTAGAGCAGATAAGCCATCAAGCCCATGGCAGCAACAAAGGCACCATTGCCCACAGGGGCCAAGGTAGGGCCAGCAAGACCCTTGGAGCTGGTAGAAGTCACCTGGGTGCTGCCACCACTCGTCTTAGAGGGCTGGGAGGCACCTGTGGTGGCAGTGGAAGAGGAGCCATCGCTGCCGCTGTCCTTAACAGGGCTCTTAGGAGGGTCGATTGTGGCGCAGAGAGGCTGAATGTTGTTGTTGCACGTATCCTGACCTTGGGCGTTACCAGCGTTCTGAGAGATACACTTCTTGAACACCTCCTGGCAAATGTAGAATGGCATGGTCTGCCTGTAGTACTGAATACCGGGTGTCGAGCTGTTCGAATTGCAAGTGCATTTCCATTTGAGGTCCGACTGTAGCAGTATTCAGCAAAAGTCAATTCCAAAGATGGCAAAGCGACCCAGTTCTGAGAGTACTCGCGAGAAGATAGACATACCTCTGTGCATTCGTTTACAGCAGCGTCGGCATTGCAGAGGACACGGCAAGTGTTTGTCTGGCCCTGGCACCAAGTTGCTGCAGGAGTCATGGTGTTAGCGATGGGTGAATCAGGCATGCGCAACTAGAGCTGCGTTTTGACCACCTAACACAGCCCAACTACCTAGGTAGTCAAGGTTGAGAAGAGTACTTGCCTCGATCAGTCTGGCTGACACTGTTGGGATCAATTGTCATATCCAGCTCACTGGTGTAGTTGTAGGTGGTTTGGGCGTGGGCCGAGGCAATAGCCAAGGCGGCGAAGGCTGCAGAGTAGCGCATTGCAATCGGAGACGCGAGGTGTGAGGTGTGCAGTGGTGGTGCAGTGGCTGTTGATGTATTTGGGCTATTCGATCTTGTCGAGAGCCAAGAAGCCGAGGAAGCTGAGAACTGGGGTTGGGAGTTGGCAGCTGGAAGCTGGCGTGTAGAAAAACAGATCAGGCGTGCTGTCAAGGACAAGCAGTGCTACAGATGCGAGTAGAGCTTCAGAGGCGGCAATGCAGTATCACTTGGGTTAGCGTATAGCTTGAAGATGCTTGGATGCGATGATTGAGTGGTGGTGAGAAAAAGAATAAAAGAGAAGAGGCCGAGAAAGGCAGCCAGAGATGGGGGCAACGAGAAATAAAAAAACAGGGCCGGCAGGTGCTCGGTGGGCTTCAGTTCTCACACACGCCAGTCCGGACCTCACACATCAATTGACCACACCTCTCTCCAACTTGCAAGGCACGAAGCAAGGCACGAAGCAACCAGAGACCTCCCAGGCGGGAAGCTAGATTGGAGCTAACAGAGCACCGGCCGATAACAGCAAGGGCAACGGGGTGCAACGGCCTTGGCCGGACTAATGCAATTTTAACCAACAGAAATGGGGCATGACTTGGTGGCACTGCAATCCGTGGCTCACCAGTTGACGTTGCAATGGCCCGCCATCCACACTCCATTGGCGTTGGGGCTAAATGGGCCAGAAAATGGCCTGCCCGGCTCCATGCGCGGCTTGGCAAACATTGATCAGTTGCAGCGTCTATGACAGAGCTTTGCAACAATGGCCAGGATTAGCACTCTGGTGCCAGCGTCGCCATCATGAAGCATTTATCGGCATCGGCATCGGTGTCACCATGAGGCAGGCATCGCCCTTCGACCTCGACCCCTTTGTTACTATCAAGTTACGGAGTACTCCGTATGATTTCAACTTTTCCCCCTGCTTCCTTCTATCCTCAAGTCCCTCCTCCTACTCTCCCTCTTCCTGCCCAGCCATTCGCACCCAGCCTGCCAGCTTCCATATTACCCATCATTTGACGTCTTTCCGCCTACAAAAAAAGTTAATGGTTACGACCACCCAACGACTCAGCACAACATTGAAAAGACCAGCACTCGGCCCGGCTGGGCTGGTGGCGACTAAGTCTCGGCGTGGCGCCAAGTCTCTGGAGAGCCACACGCTACACCCATGCCTAAGACGTAAGGAGACGCACTGAGACGCAATAAGATGACGACATGGGCAGTGGCCGCCTGGTGAATTACTATTATGTTATTGCCTCCTGGTTTTGTTGTGCGGTAGCGGCTCCTCTCGTATTCTACTCCGTTCCGACTACATCCACGGGCAACAAAATTGGTTAAATGCGACAATTGCCTCCTCTCATCAGTGAGGAGAGAAACTTCGTCACAGGCCGCCCGAGGTTAGGTGGTTGCCAGTTGCCAGGGTATCCGTACCCATAACGCCAGGCTACCACAGACATCCATCAAAAGCATCTGCCACATCGTGGCAGGCTTGTGGGCACGGTTCCGGCTGGCACGGCCCAGGTTTGGCCGTCATGCTGAAGCAGAATACTAGGAGTAACCGATTCATCGACTAGGCCTGATGAATCAGATTCTGGTTCAGGGACATTTGCCGGGGTGTCTCGACACTCGCTATGCATCGTGGCACCATGCCTTTGGGCCAGTTATCGTGAGGGATGACGATGAAGGTGCATGCCATTCAAATAACAAGGCCCCGCTGTGTTGCTGGGGGCTGATCACCGAGGTTTCAAGACGGCCACCCCATCTCTTCGCAATTCATGGGACAAGGTTCAGTTTCATCGTTGGTGTCATCTATTTGTACCGCAGTCTATCTGTAACTCAACTGACCGACTCTCCAGTGTCGACCACAAGTGCCGTGGTTGGCCTCCGAGAGACCGACGACGAGGCTGGTATCAAAGCTTACTGCCGAATTGATACAGGTGCGCCATAGATAGCGGTGGCCCGCATCGGCGGCATGCACAATGGCCAATGCTTCGGAGGGTAGCCACAAAAGGCCGCATGTACATACGTGCCATGGGAAGCTGGCAGGCTTGCTAGGCCTTGGGAGGGGACAAACCAAGCAGGCCCGAGGCATTGTTATGTTATTTTGTAATTTGTGTGGCATCCTGCGAACCGCAAGCTGGATGTTCAAACAACCGTACGCAAGCGGCTAATATCGCCGATGTGACGCAAGGGCGGAGGGAACACAGCACCCATGCTCTTTATTACCTTTTGCCTGGTTGCACACAATCCAATGGGTCGGCAGCACCACAAAATCTTTTTTGCCCCGTCCAGGTTGGCATGTTTTTTAAGCTGCTTCGTCTGGGCCTTGGGCCTCGAGGATATTAGTGTGTGCAATAATGCTTTCGCTTGAGGCGGCGGATTGCGAATAATGCCTCACAGCAGGATCTATCGTGGAGAACTCGATGGTGACGTCTAGCAACACTTTTGAAACTGCTTCGCCTACAAAAAGCTTTTCATGTCAGTGAGAAGCGCAATCTTCAGAGGTTCAATGTTACCTAGGTATTGACTGATGACGCCAAGGACTCAATTCGGAAATGTCGGCAGCGCCGGCTCCAGAGTAGGTCAGGTTCCTGGCCTAGGACAATCTGGAGCTAGACAGGCCAATGAGGAACGCGAATTGAGGATATGGCCAGCCACGGGAACTTCCATGTCTGTTGCTCTCGATGCCTGAATGGATGGTGGGGAGAAGAAAACGAGCCTGAATGGCGAGGCTTCTCTACAGATGGGTTGATGGGAAACCACTTGCCATCAGCGACTAACGGATGGGTCACCTATGTACTCCGTACATAGACATGTTTATCGATTTATTAGTGCCGCCAACACCTGAGCAACACACAACCCGCCCTTCCTTCACAACGACGCAGACAGCTCCGTGTGTGACAGACGACGCCTTAGGCCTGCAGCGGCCTGAACTTGGCAGCCATTAGAAGTGGGAGACTGTTTACATTCCGTTTTCTTGTTTGCTGTGCAGGAATTGGGTACTACGATAATTGTCTGAGTAATGCCAAGACACAAAGAGGTGTTGGTCAACACGACATGGCGAATACGGGATCGCACCTTGATATGTTCAATGTTGGCTTGATGGCAGTTTTCCAGCCTGTACAATCTAGCGAGCTAATCAGTCCAGTCCCCGCACCATCGATGCTGCAATAGCAGGACCACCACAGAACCGTTGACAACGACCCCGTAAGGTACCCATGCAACTTTGATCGATCTATGACGGAAGTGCTTGCAGCTGTGCTCTCTCCGCAATTCAACATCTGGTTGGTGATGGGTGGCATGGGCCACTAGCTCCTGTGGCGCAGCCATTGAGCCGGGCTTGTTGAAGTTTGATGCATTTATCTACGTCCACTGCAAGGGGAACTCGACGTTGTCTTACCAGTCAGTCGACAATGATTGGAAATATTCAACCAGAAAAATTACTGCACGGTTCTCTGACGATAATCGTGCTTTGGCTCTGATGGTCTGACTGACGCGACTGACGACATCCCAAATCTGACATCGAAATTCTACGAGATACAACACTATCGGTACATTGCCCAATTAGATTACTGCAAACTTGGACTTTGAATGAGAAGCCATGTAACTACCCAACGCAAAGGTGTTGCGCAGCTTGTACCCTGCTGGTATCTCCTCCAATGGTATGCGAACACCCCCGACAATGCGAAAGATTATCATGGTTGTTGAGACGCCCATGTTTCCCGTTACATACGCTAGCAAACACGTAAAACAACGGCGAAGCGTGCGTCTAGGAATCTAGAGGAATGGACAGGAAGGTTCGCGATGGGCTCGAGCCCTACTGTCAAGACTGATAGCAATGCCACCTTGGGGTTTTGATATTACAGACACTAGGGATTGGTGCTATTACCGTTATAGGCTGAATCGCTTCAATACACGTCTCGTGACTCATCACATTGTAAATTCAGCCTTTGCTGTGCTGACTGAATCCGCTTCGAGGATACCAACCTGATAAGGAGGTAGTTGTCAGCTACTCAGATTCCGTTATAAACCTCACCACCTCCATCCCGATCCCGGCCAAGACGCCAACCTGCCTCACCACCGCGTACTCGAAAAACAGTCTTGACGCCTCGGCGTCCCCATCTGCCGCCCACGCATTTATCAGCGATAACTCCTTCTCTCGCCCCGGCAGCTTTCCAATATCGGCCAGCATCTCCCTCGCCGCAACGCTCAGCTCCCAATCCGCCAGCTCCCCGGGACACATCTTGATGACCATGATGAGCAGCATCTGACACAGTGAAACCTGGTCTATATTCGACAGCGTGTCCTGAAGCTTCTGATCCAGTCCGCCTCTCGCCGCCGCCGCCGCCGCCGTGTTCCCCGTGCCCTCGGCAGTATTAGCTAGCAACTTGGCCATCATGAAGAGATTCTTTAAGCGAACGGGGTGAAACGGCGCTGCATAGCGGAACGGGTCGCAGGACGTCGCTGCCAATGCCGTCACGGCCAGGGCGCACGGGAAGTCGGCCCTCTCGGCAAAGTAGATTGCCGTTTCGGCGAGGAGTTGCGGCACGGGCGACACGGCCCACAGACGGGCGTCGGCGAGCCTCCGAGAAAGGCGGTATTGCGCCTTGAGAGCCGCGTAGCGGGCGGGCAGCGAGTCTGGCAGCCGTGCTGGTTCCGTGGTGTATCTCGCCGCCACGTCCTGCGTGGTCTTGTCCGTGACGGCGGGATGCTCGTCGCCGCCCGACACGTCCGCCACGCTGTACGTGCTTGGGTAGGCTGTGCGGACCTGGTACACGTTCA